GTAGGATTTTGTAGCCCCCGGCTTGCTCTTTTGAATGGTGAAAACCGCAGCTCGATAACTCAAAGTAATCAAAAGTTATTCAGAAAATGGTCGTTAATACTTTTAAAAAAATCCGACATTAATATGAATGGAAGTGAAGATGTAACAAAAATTTTGATATCGATGAATCATAATATCTTAGATATGAAGGAGAATATACATCGTATTGATGAAAAATTAGATCGTATTAACGATAAAGTCAATCAAACTGCTCTGGATACGGAACTTCATCATGTAACACTGGAGAAATTACTACCTATATGCGTATCAATCGTGCACGACTTTATTTGGCCAGTGATGAGTCAAAACGTTGCTGGACTGGGTGGCAAGCGTTCACAATTGCAAAATCTATTTAATAACTTGAAATTGTTATTGCATGATCCAAAAATCGGACTATTCAGCTCGACGTAAACGCAGTACATCTCCACCACCATAGCTCTCGCCATCTCAACAACCTTCAAAATCGCCTAATATCACTACGAACAATGAACTTGATCAGAATATGAGCAAATAAAAGAGTATCAGACTTTCAAATTTAAGAGTAGAAGCCAACTCCTTTTCTCTCCTTCAAACAGCTGATCCTATAGAGACTGCGATGAAACATTTTTGTCAATGGGGATTCCAGGAAAAATATCAAAAACTAGTGGAAAAAATCCTTGCAGAATGGTTTCCATCAGGTACTCTAGAAAATATTCTCTTACAATGGAAAAATATTTCACCTAAAGTAATTCAAACAGAACGAACTCCATTAAATATCCTCTGTTATAACGTGCAAGGATAGGGGTCCAGATGCCTTGAAGTAATTGACATTGTGTATAAAGTAGAGGCCTCTATTTGTGTTTTTACTGAAGTCGGTGAGTTGTGGAATACATCTCGAGTGCCTCATTTCAATATTTTTCATCAACATGGTAAAAATAAAAGTGGAGGAGTATGTGTAGCAATAGGAAAACATTTAAAAGGTACGAGAATAGAAATCAATATTGAAAATACTGTTATCATTGAGGTTAATAGTTTTTCTGAAACAATAAGAATAATCACTATTTACTGGCCGGCAGGTCAGATCATGAGGTTAGAAGAATTAGAATCATATATCATTGAAAACACAATTATCACTGGTGATTTCAATGCATCCATAAAAGAATGGGGTAGTGAGTCATCAGATAAAAGAGGTAGAAACTTGAAAGAATGGGTGGAAAAAAATAATCTTTGTTACATTCCATCGACACTGACTTCTTCGAAACGTTCGAATAGAAACATTGATCTATCATTTACAAATATAGATGAGGTAAGAGGAGAGACTTCGAAAATGGGTACCAATGATCACTGGCCACTGTTGATAACATGTGAGAATGGGGATTTTGATAAGAATAAAATGTTCTCACAGGTGAATTGTAAGGTGTACGAAGTCATTCTTACGCTGTTACAAGAAGTTTGGATAAAGGAGTAAAATAGAGGCATGCAAGCTGATGAGTGATATATGAATTATGTACGTTTTCTTGCTGCTCTAAAAAACAGACTTACAAAATGGACAGAAAAAGAAAAACTCCGTCCATCACTACCGTTTTATCTTATTCAGAAGCTGAAAGAAGTAAAAAGAATAAGAAATAAATACTATCGTGAGAAAACAATATCGAATACAAATGAAGAGACAAGAGTGCTATTACGTGTTTTGTCACGTGAAGTAAAGATAGAAATTGCAAAATATAAATCGAGTAAATGGCAGGAGTTTTTGTCTAAAATTCAACAAACACATGACAACACAGATAGAGCTTTTTGGTTATATCTCTCTCGGATATATAAACATAAATCACTACCATTTTCGAAGTTAGATACCGGTAAAACACTATTGACAAAAGAAAACGAAATTAGTGATGAACTTTATCGTTATTATTCGGAACAGTTGAAAGCACAAAATGCGGATATGTCAGATCCCCATGAAGTTCAAATTGAAACAGAGTATCTAGAATTGATGAATAAACTTCCGATATTAAATCAAAAGATTGAAAAGACGAATTTTACAGAAATAAAAAAGCACATTTTAAAGTTGAAACCGAAAAAATCATCTGGTTTCGATGCAGTGTCTAACTTTATAATCAAAAGAATTCCACCGGGTTATATTAGTTGCTTAGCAAATTGTTTTAATACTTGGCTAAGCGAACACAGATATCCCGATATTTGGAAATTAGCTAAATTAGTTACATTGAATAAATTAAAAACAGGAATACCTCGTTGTGACCAGACTCGGCCAATTTCACTCCTAGCAACACATTCAAAATTATTTGAAAAAATTATGCTAGAAAGACTGAGATACTGGGCAGAAACTAATAGACTAGTTCCAGCTGAGCAGTCTGGATTTCGTCCAGGTTGTTTACTTCAGACGAGAGTCCTATCTATTATCAAGAGGTTAAAAACAATATGACTGCAAATATTCCAACACTAGCAGTCTATGTTGACTATCAAAAGGCATACGATAAAGTATGGCATAAAGGTTTTGTTGTTAAACTCAATAGAATGAGTATACCTTTAGGACTATTGAAATTAATTATTTCGTGATTGAATGATCACCGAGCGTATGTTATATTTGGAGAGAATAAATCGAAAATATTTTACACTCATATTGGTTTGCCTCAAGGCGGTAGTTTAAGTCCCTATCTTTTCATTGTGTATCATTGTGATCTTGTTACATGTTTAGGTGCTTATTCAAGCCATATTATTGCTGATGATCTTAACGTACTAATATCCCCACCTATATGTCGAGGAATTAAGCCGATGATTAAGTTTTTAGAAGAAGAAGGAACAAAAATATGTAGTAAAATAGCGAATTACTCCAAGAAATGAAAACAACCAATTAATTTGTCCAAAACAGTAGTTCAGGTTTTTCACTCTCAAGTACAAAATCCAGTAATTGATATCTATATGGAAGGTAAAAAACTAGAAGTAGCTAAAGAATTTAAATATCTTGGTTTTACTTGGACAAATAAGATGTCCTTGAAACCAACGATAGATAAAACACTTGAAAACGTTCAAAGAACGTTTAGTAAATTAAGATGGATGAAAGGTGGTAAAACCCTCCCAAAAGAGGTCTTACGAAGATGTTTCTTTGCTTTCAGTTTTCCATATTTTGCCTGGATATTTCCTTTCTACCCCTTCATGCCCCACACTCAAAAAGAATTACTTCTAAGGAAATTTAGAAACGGACTAAGACTGGTTCATCGCTGTCCTTTTGCTCGAACAACAGATCTTCTTCAAATAACAAACGAAGAGCCATTAGGAGAATATGTGAAAAGATATATAACGAAACGATTAGAATGAATTGAAAAATCAGATTTAGGTCTTTCACCCTTTTACAATGATGTATTCTATTGGGATACATTTCGTAATAATAAAAACGATCACATGGGACACTTTTTTCGAATGAAACGAGTTAGACATATGCGTGAAAGACATCAATCACTACTTCTTCAATGGCTTGAGTTTTTAGATGTGTGAAGTTCTGCCAAGTGATTAATTGATATGTTACTCGCATCACTCTTTAAATCGTTACTCCTCCTTTGTTTCTCTTTTTCTTTCTCCTTTTCTTATTATTACTAGCTTTTCTCTTCTGTCATTGTTCTTTCTTTTTCATTTTTTTTCCTATGTCTTTACATTTTATCTACAAAACGTGGCTTATTATAATTTAATGATGTTTCTTGTATGCTTATATCGCGCATGATCGTGCAAATCGAACAGTTGTGAATGCATAGACCATTATTTGTAAGCACTTCCGAGTGTAACAATAAAAAGAGCGACATTTAAAAAAAAAAAAAAAATCTTTCAAATATCTTATTGTGTTTTATTGATTCTTATCACAATTTACATATATCTAACTATTTTAAAGAGTATATACAATCTAAATTATAGAACATTGAATATGGATTCATGTAAATATTATGCTGAGGTTAGAAACAAAGGTGCTAGATGAAAGCAATGTGTATTTTTTTATGTGCAAATAAATGAATCTAATTACTTGATTCATTGTTCTTGTTTCTTTCAATGCATTCATTCATTCGATACGATTAATTGAGAGAAAAAATGTCAGTTTTCTTTATTTGTTACCTATTTGTTTTGCATAAAAGACGAGAAACGAAAACAAAAAAAAGAAATATCTTCTTGTTACCTATTGTCATACTTAAACAGTATTAATCGTATAAACGAATGACAAATATCAAGCTTTCAAATTGTGATTATCAACAATATAAGCTATTTATTAACAACAATAGTTTGTCATATACGTTTATCGCACTTTACTTAAAAAAATAACTTGCTATTTCAATGTAAATTAGTAAGCTATAATTGATCATTCATAAAAATTTCTTTCGCAGTGTTCATCAATTCCTGGTTCATTAATAATCATGACAAAAAAATCTACAGAACATAGAAGAAGATTAATGCCATTTAAACGTACTAAACCAGGTGTAGAAGCAGAACATTATATAACAACTGGTAGAAGAGCAACAATTCTTGGTCCTTCGTCATATTCTGGATTTGATGCTTCTTTATCTAATAAAATTCTACGCAGTACTGATTCAACGTAAGTTCTTGTTAGATTATTTCAATAGAACTCGTCGCTATGACTAAATGATTAAGTTGTTTGGCACATATTATCACGGTAGTATATTCGAGTTTCGCTATTTCCAGACATGAAATGAACCTCAGCAAGTCACCAACGACTGTTTGTTTCAGAATATCTGCATAGTAGCATATTCAGACATGTCCTAAGCAAAAATGGGTCGAAAGGGTGACCTCTAATCTTCACAATATTTTCGTTTTTCTCTAGTGGAGTTCCCATTGTTTGCCGATTCCCCAAAAAATAACGCTCAACGGTCTCGTCTTGATTCGGTCAAGTTTAGTAACAATCTGCTAATAGGTCTCCTGAGTCATTGACTTCTCGCAATCCTGATGACCTCGGACACTTCCAAGCATATTTACTCTGTTATGACATACACCGGTGCTTGTGTATAGTAAACTCAAATGATTACGTGAAAGAACTAGAAGTTAGATTAGTCTTTTTCTTGAGCTACTATTCGTAATTCTTGTAGAAAAAGACATTAAGCCAATGAAACTATCGTTGAACAGCATTTTTATCGTACAAGATAATCGAAAAACATGTGTGCCCCTTCTTTTTAGATTCGAAGAGATTTGAATATTATTGATCGTTTGAATTTTTAGATTACCAGTTCAATTGAATGTTCTTACGTATGATGAAAATTCATTTACGGAAGGAAAATATCAAAATGTTGCAGAAATTCCAATTGCACCATTGGCACCAATAACATCAATTACATGTATGTATTAGATTGATATAACAAAAAAAAACATAGATATTAACATTGTAAAATCCGTATTTCATACGTTGAATTTTTTTTATAAAAACAAATAGTAAACATGTGATTTGTTTTTTCTTTAGGGATTGATGTTGATGGTATACATGTTCAAGAGATTATATCTGCAATAGGTGATCGTTATGATATTCATACATTAGTTCAAGCAGACATAACAAATGACCAACGAACAAAATTAGATGTTTTGGATGATGCATTATTTCTTGTATGTAAACTCATATTTCGTGATATGGATCATACAGGTCAAATAATTATTCAACAAATTAGTTTTTATGTGAAAGATAATCTGCTTATTACATTTCAAGAAACACCAAAAGATTTGTTTGATTCAGTTAAAAGTAAACTATTTTAATCAAAGAGTAAATCCATGGATGTCCAATTAGTTTTTGGAAAAAAAATTTTTTTTTTTACATCAATTGATGATTTTTTGTTAGTTAGGTAAAAACAGGTTTGATTTGCAAAATTTTGCTGGAAATAGTGAAGCTTTAACAATTTTTTCAGAAACATTCCCACAAACATTTTCAAACTTTTGAACTGATATTTTGTCTATAAGTTTAGTGTTACTATATAGACAAGTACAATGATCAAAGTATTTTTTCCTTTTATTGCCATTCGTTCGAGATTATTAATGTTGTAAAATACAGAAGTTTTTTATGTTTTTATAATATTATGTGAATACTGTGGTTTGCAACATTAAACATCTCGATTAAATCTAAATAAAAAGAAGAATGCTTTGATGATTGTGCTATTCTTGTGGTAAACCTTTAATCACAGTAGAAGAGCCGAAGCCTTTCATTGTTTCCCATTTATTTTTAAGTTAAAATGTTTGTTTGTTTAGAAAACCAAAACGATTTTGAAGACTTGAGAAAATATTTCTTTTTTTGAACTAAATACACTAATTTAAGCTCAGCTTTTTTTTGAAAACTTAATAGAATAAACGTGGAGGAGGAGAGAGGTCTTTCTAATCACTTCTCGCCTATTATGGAAAGACTCAAGTCGATAAAAATTTTTTTCCAGAAACACTGTTGAATACTCATGGGTTTACCAACAATGATTTTTTTGCTTTATTTTTTATATTTAAAGGTCGTATTCGACAAGGAAAAGGTCGTTTTAGGCAATCTAAAGTTGATTATCTTTTCTATTCACTTCTTGATGTTATTGTTGATCATTATATGAATGTTCTTGACACGATGGGTACGAAAGTTGAATCAATTGATAATCAATTAATGAAAACATTAAAACGTGATACACTGGAATCTATATATGATATGAAACGTGATATGTTACAATTACGTTCAATGATTTCTCCATTAAAAGAAATAATTATTAAATTACAAAAAGAAGAAGAAACACAAATCATACAAGAAAGTACAAATATTTATTTAAAAGATTTATTTGATCATGTTATACAAGTTAATGATTCAATTGATACATATAGAGAAATGTTAGCATCATTTATTGATTTTCATATGATGTTAAATGCGAATGGTATGAATCAGGTTGTCAAAACATTAACAATGTTATCAACAATTTTTATACCATTAACATTTATTAGTTCAGTTTATGGCATGGTAAATTAACTTATGGTTTTAATTAAATTTATTTTTTATTCTTTTGTTTTAGAATTTTGATAATATGCCTGAACTTAGATATAAATATGCTTATTATATCGTACTGTCTTGCATGGCTGCATTAGCAATTTTAATGCTTGTATGTTTTAAACGCAAACGTTGGTTTTAATATTTTATTTATTTATTTATTATTGTCCTCATCATATATCTTTTTAATATATCAATATAAACAGAAAGATCTACTCTAAGTGATCTTATAAAAGCAATTGTTTCATAATGTGAAAAGATGACAAATAGAAATGTACATCTATTGTTGCAAAGAACTATTAAGAATAATATTTCAATGTGTTATAACATTGGAGATCTCGCCTATTTAAAAGTCAATGATAGAAACTGACTATCGGGCTTCGACTTTCACCTTTCGAACAGAACTATCAGGACATGATTTATCTGGGTATAGGTTCTTGAAAGTTTCTCTGTTTCTTTTTTCTTATAAAAACAAAAGACAAATAGAAATAAACTCAACGAAGCAATCTATAAGAAATCTGAAAACTATTATTAATGGTTATTTAATTTTGTCAATTATAACGAAACATCAACACTACTCGCATATTCATATTTCTATTCATTTCGTATTTTCAGTTGCTACTATAGTATTATATTGTGTAAATACGAATCGCATTTTTAATTACTATCAAGATAAGTCATTTCTTGTTCTATATGTTGTATCATAAAAATAAGCACGTCAAAATTATAAAAACATGATAAATAATTCGTTTGAAATTTATCTTTGAAGATTTTCTTGTCTATCAAGTGATGTTCAATGTTTTTTTATTACATATAAAACCGTAATGAGATTGTGACATAATATCAACGAATCAATTCTACTGGATTTTTCTTTCTGTATTCATTCCTGGACAAAACTAGAACAAGTATAAATACAGCAAGTAAAAGTATTTTACTTGTACTTAAGTACGAAACAGTAATTAATTTGTATTTCTACTTGATATATAACTATAACATATGTTGTCTGTTATATTAGCTACCTCTAATAAAGTTTTCAGAACCACTGTGTGACATCATCTAATCAGATGCTACATGATCCTAAGAATATGCTAATGTAATTTTTGTTTTTCTTTCATATGTTAATAAAGTCACTGCAGGACACTAGTAAAAATCGCCCATATTAATTGTTCGTGTTTCTTCAAAATAATGAATGATATCCGATTCACTATCATAGATCAGCAAAATTCGTCATGACATTCAGAAGAATTTAGATGGATACTCTACAAGCATGAGCAGGTAATTGTTTCGTTGCATTTTCGAATTTTCGATACGACTTTTTTAAATATTGATTGTGAAGATTTCATTATAGAATGTTGATGCAAGATTTTTTGAGTATATGTTAGACTTTACTCATAGTTTGGCTTAGAATGTGGGTGTGGGTTTGGATAGGTTGAGAAGAATTTTCATACCAACACCTGAATCCACTTAGACTTTTTCTTGATTTATTTTTGACTAATTCCATCTTTTAATGTCTTTCATATTTTCAAACATCTACTTGATGGCAAAGTCTTTTTTTTATGGAACGATTAAAAATTAAAGAATCGAAATAACTCAAAGTCAGAAGTGGATAAGAATAAAAAGCAGATGATAAGCCTAAGTTTAAAAATTTTACATAAGATATGCATCAATTTCGTTTTAGACTTAGAAAAATAGAAAAATGCTTAAATAAGAAAAAAGACATTGTTTCCCAGTATAAGTACGAAACTATTTGCCTCGAAGTATTATTGCAAGTACAAATACTTTCATCCGAGCTCGGTTTCTGAATAATATAATAAATGCTACTGCACTCTCTATTTTTTTTAGAGATATTGAATTAGCTATTATCGATATTTGATTTATTCTAGACACTTGAAAATGCTATTTCAGATATCGTGAGTAGAGAAAAAAAGTTTGTTTCGGCAAATAATCTAAGATCGGTTCCCTGTGAATTTACTATTTCTGGTACAGTGAATGATAATGAAACAGAATCTGTAGAAGACGTAACACGTGTTAAAAAAAAGATAAATGTTGATATAGATAGAAAAAATAGTATGAAAAGATTTCATTATGTTAAGAAAATTTGATAAGACGATATTCTTGTAAATGTTTAACTTTTTATGATGATTAACTAATTAAAAACTATTTGAAAACTTTTCTATAAGAATAACACTTGTCAAATCCAACTTTGATTAATTGCCGGTATATCAATGGTTTTCGTCGGGTTCGAAATACAAGCAAATTTAATATTATTAAGAAGTAAAAGAAACAGTTAACCAAGAAAATCACCTAAACTGATCTATCTGCCGTTTGAACTCATATTGGACTAACAAGACTTTTTTAGTAAGATTAGTAAAAAATGTAAAAGAGTTCGCCTTCACAGGCCATTAGAGTTGAATTATGATTATTTTACTGAGTTTTTGATATATATTGAAAAAATCAAAAAAAAAATGAAATTTTGATTTAAATTTTCTGTCTATAGTAGATATTTCGAATGACCTGTAGAATATCCAGAAAGTTTCAGTTGAGCAGAATATTCTTTTGTTAGGATATTGAATTTCGAAAAAATAATATTTGCTTGCCACAGACATGTGACAAGATTCGGGTTTACTTGAAAATTTAATATCTTGACAAAGAAAAAACATTCTTTTTCACTGAAACTTCCATAATATTCCATAGATCATTAAATTTTATTATAGACTAAATTTTAAGTCGAATATCTTTTTTTTTTTTGTTCTCAGTATATGCTTAAAAGTGGATCCATAACTTATGGAAAAGAACATAACTCGATTCCAAATAACGAATCGAATATCCGGCATCCGACTATATATGTATAAGCATAGAAATGAAAACCGATTTAATCATGATCGAGCACTTTAGTGCACTTGAGAACAGGTCACAGAAGTGGAAACACGATATTGCTTTACAAAACGAATTCGTTTTTTTATGAAAATTCATCCACAGATAATGATGAAGCATATGACGTCGTAATTGAATATATGGAAAAAAAATGAACTTTCAAAAAGGTAAACATGTATTATCGTGATGGAAAAAAAAAGCATTGGTGTATGACGTTTAGCATCAACGATGCATTTCATTCCAATGCCATCAACTAACAAGCAAACGTATCCTTATCGAAATTGATTGACTTTTAGAAACATAAAAGTATCAAGTGAATCTGAAGCATCTTCATTCACTTGCCATTTTTTTTGTGATATTTGAGATGATCTCTTGTTTATACTTTTTTCATAGAAAAGTAAAAATTTGAAAATTATACTATGACTGTGAAAGTATCTACTAGATTTCGATTAGATTCCATAATTGGTTGCCTCGAAAGAGAACAACCATAGATCGTCACATAGTACTATTATAAAAGATATTATCGACGTATATTTTTATGAGTTATATTTATTTTATTGTACAAAGAAAAAAAAGCATACGAATTATAATGTCAAAAATTAACATCAAAACGAGAAAATTTCGTATTTCCTTTTCCTGAAATAGTTTCTTTCTGTTCTGTTTCGGGATATTCAGTCATTTGATTTGTTGGTTGTACTGGTCGATTGTTATTAGTATTAGTATTAGTACGAACGGGTTGTTGTTGTTGTTGTTGTTGTTGTTGTTCTGTAAAACGATTATTACGTTTTTGAACTTTAATTTCTTCTGATGATGGATAATGATATTGACCATAAGTTTCTGCAAATGGATTATCAGGACTCATATTTAATGATGTTTTATCTAAGGGAGTAGAAGAATTTGGTTTTTGAGCTGGTACACGTGTTGGAGCCGGTGCTGGCGGTGGCGGTGGTGGTGGTGGTGAGGGTGGACTTGGAGCTCTAATAGATGATGATTGTTGTTGATTATAATAATTTTGTAGTGGTCTTTGTACTTCAATAGGTCGATATGAAAGTGGTGGTGGATTATTATTATTTCTATTCCAATCAACATTCGATGTTGAATATGAATTTGGTACAGTATTATTATTTAAATAATTTTGAAATGATGGTGGTCGATAATTATTAAATGGATTATCATTCGACATTTCATTTGTTGACATTAATGGTGCAGCTGCTTTTGGCATTTCTGTAATACGTTTTTGTGGATCAATTTGTGATGGATAATGATAACGTCCATATGTTGAATAAAATGGACTTTCATCGGATAAATTTAATGATTTATTTTCTGTTGAACGGTTAGCTGAATTTTGAGTTGTTATCCGTTTTGATGGATCAATTTGTGATGGATAATGATATCCACCATAAATAGTATGAAATGGATTTTCATCAGAAAGATTTAATGTTTTATTCAGTCCAGCACCACTTTTTGGTGGAGATGTTATGGATGTTATTGTACGTGGTGTATTATTTTGTTCATAGGGACGAGATGAAGCATAAAATGGATTTTCATTTGACATAGCATTTGTTTTTTCAATAGAACCTCCACCACCAGCTGGACGAATATTATTATTTCGATTATAATTATTTGGTGATGGATAACGATTTGTATTTGGTGGAACATATGGTGTTGATTGTTGTCCATAATTTTGTCTATCATTAATATATGTTACACTTGCTGGTTGTTGATTATTATTATAATACGGATATGATTGAGCAGATGGACGTGATGGATCATATGATGGACTATAATTATTTGTTGAATTCGATTGAGGATCATGAATATAATGTCGAGTTGTATAAATAGGTGGTGGTTGATTTGAATACATGTTTTGTATGTCAAGTTTTTTTTTCTTGGTTTGATTTGTGCAATTTTTGCAATCTGTGAATGAATTTACTAGAACAATCAAAAAAAGAAAAATTTTCTCAGCACAAACAATAAAAACAAAAAATAAATAGTGCGTATATATATATGCACTCTCATTACGTTACTGGTTGCTATGACTTTTTTCCTTTACACATACAACTCTCTCACGCCATTTTCTTTTTTCTTTTTTTATCCTTCTGTCAATTAAACTACTGCGAAATATTTTTCTTCGTCTTTTTCTTCTGTCAATAATATAAGAAAAGTAATAAAAAGAAATGATTATTCCACTGTCAAAGTATTTTATATGTAATTTTAAAAAAATATTTATTCTTGTGAAACATGTTAACTGTCATTTAGAATATCAGATGATTCAAGATTTGAATAGAGGTTAATGCTTTTAGAAGCGTACGAGAATTTACATTGACGTCATCTGAACTATTTTTACCTTTCAAAAATAATAGAACTTAACGTCTTGAAGTTTAAAAACCTAAGAGAATTTTTAAAATAATATATTAATAGCTTCCGACCTCTCTGTTGTACGAGCACTTCCGGTAAAAATCATATTTTTAGAATTGTTTTATTTTAAAATGATGAAAAGTTGAGAGTTACAGAACAGATACTCATCAGTACGATGAACTATTTCATCTAGCGAAAACATTTTTCGGCAACGTTTTGTTCGAATCGAAAATTCTACAAAAAATTCGATTTTTTCAAGATTTCGAGAGTCTAATTTTTCTCACATTGGTATAAAGCTAAAGCCTGTCGCTGTGTATAAGGTTTTTTGCGAGCTGATTTTGATAGTTAGTTAAATTTCTTAACTCTCTACTGAGAAAAATAAGGATTTTGGTACGAGAAAATTTTTATTTCTAGGGTTTTCTTAATCTAAACTATAACAAAAAAAAATTTTTTTTTATCGTTAGTGAGTTTCAAAATTTCTGAAAATCTTAGTAGATTTTCTCTCGAAACAAAACTCATTCACGATAAAAGTACAGAGCCAATGTCGACACATCGAAGTTCTTAGTTTTCTTATTAGTAAGTTGAGAAGTTCAGGTGGACATTGAAATTAGCTCGCAAAGTTCTCATACTCAAAAATTGACTTTGGTTTTACACTTTGGTAAATTCAATAGTTGGAAAAAGCTTTCAAAGACAATTCTAACACATATAATATTAATAAGTGTATTGTGTTATTCGTTGGAGAAATCAAACTTGCAAAACTTCAGAAACATCGAATCTCCTGAAAGACTTTTAGATCCAAGAAAAAGGTTTTCGTTTAATAAAACGCTTATCTTACAGATGAGTATATATTCTGAAAGTTTCAGTCTGCTATCGTTTAAAATAAGGAAATTCTAGAAATAAGATTTTGACTAGGAAGTTTCTTCGAATCAAGGGTTGGAAGCTATATAAAATTAATTTTTTTTAGGTATTTTTTGGCGTGAAAACATTAGATTCTACTACTTCTGAAAGTTTGAAACATTTTAGTTGAAGTGGATGTAAGTTCTAATATACTTTCGAAAGAACTACTCAATTAAGTTTATTTTGAAACCTCACATGATAAAAGTGACATGTTCATCTCTAAAGAAAATGTTGATACTTCTTTTATTAGACTCTATCTTGATCGTCTATGAAGATAAATATAAGTTATAGTTATTTATTTTTAACTTGAAAATAATTATTTTATTTAGACTTAAGTCAATGATACATATTTTCAAAAGGGACAAATTATCTTCTCTTTGAACTCACATAAAACACGAGTATTTACTATTGTTTTAATTAAATAAATAAAATATAACTGACGAAGGATTATGTAGACCTAAATGTGCCATGAAAACCCTGAAAAATGTTCATGCTTATTACTGCGGAGATACTGCACTTTTACGATATTTTTTAAAATACACGCTGTGATTTCTGCTCAAGAACAAAAGAAAAGATAATTTTCTAATTTTGACTTAAAATTCTGCAGAGAGGCAAGCCATAATAAGTGTAGTTTATTATAAAAGTTTCAAGTCGAAATGAGAAAATTAGTTTTTCTGTAAGAACACAACGATATTCATTTAAAAAATATTGTAAAAGTGCAGTATTTCTGCAACAAAATTCAAAGGACGTGAACTCTTTTCCGGATATTTCATAGCTCATTTGTCTCAACATAATGCATATTATTTTGACTCAAAAATGATTTATCAGTTAAATGACTTCCCTGGTGAGAAAAAAAACCGTAGTCTTTTCCTCTCGACTTCAAGATCTATATGTGAACCATTTTAGGCAAAACGAAACATACTCATCTTTGATTTTTTACAAGGATTATTTTTTTCTGAATAAGTTCTTGTAGTATTCTACATATGCAAAAATTTTTATTCTTAATTAAGCAGCAATTAGCAAATATCTTTGTAACAATACGAGGAAAAAATCGAAAATTTCAGGCTAGAATCTATGACAAGAATCGCACCGATAATAAAATTTTTTAGAGAAAGTGAATTTCATAAAACTTCTTAAAAACTAATTCTCTAGAGATTCTATCAAATCTCTTGATGTTCGATTAGGAAAATATTTTTTTTTTCGTTTGTAATTATATTCGTACTTGGTCACATCGTTAATGAAAAATAAATCGATTTTTTCGAAAAATCTTTGACATACTCAAAAATAATTTTGGATAGAGTTTTTTTTAGCCTCAAAATTATTTTGTAATTAAATTTCCGAATGAAATACTAAACAACTAAAGCAAAAATGATGACACGTTAAAATTTATTCGATTGTTTTATTATTTTAATAGAATCGTTTATATATATTCTACAAAATGCACTATGTGCTATTAGACTTTAGTTTCTTTGTTTCGAGAAATATGACATGTAAATAATGATAAAAACTGAACGTTCATCAAATTGATATTTTATTTATTTTCGTAAAGAAGTTTGTTTTGGATGTTGTTTTAAACGTAGAAATTCTTCATCATAAGTTGAAAAATTTTTACATGAACCATGAATTTTCGTTTGTAAATAATATGATGAATTTGCTGATGATGTTGTACTAGTACATAATGTTCGTTGTGTTCTTATACTATTATTTTGATTATAAAATTTGTCTTGTAAATATGAACATATTGTAAGACGAAATGTTGTTTTAAGTGTATCCAAAAATTTTTGATTAAATGCACAATAGAAAAAAAAATTTACTGAATAATTTAATAATAACATTATATTTGTTATTAATTTTTGTATACGAAAACCAGAATATATATAATTTGGATATTTTTTAATTGTTAACTGTCGTATAAAATTAGGATAAGATATTATTGTAAATGTATTACACACTAGAAAAACAACAACAATGGCAACAAGTGTTTTGGTTAAACGATGTTCATCACGTAAACGTTTTTGTTTTATTGGATGCATCATAAGTGTTGATGATGATGTCATGTGAGTATGTTGTCGAGCAACGAGTTCATCTAATGTATAACGATTTGAATGTTGAACGCGTTTGATTAATTTTAAATTTAGAAAAAGTAAAATTATAACCGGTAAAATTTGATTTAAAATAAACATTGTTATATAATATGCATTTCTATATGGTGAAAAATTTTCTCTTGTATATCCAACAACACAAAAACATTGACCAATATGAGTTGAATTTATTGATGAATATTGAATAATAAATGGTTGTGTTGAACATTGTGATGAATTAAATGAATCAACAGTTCCAATATATTCTTTAACATTTTCAATTAAAAATCGTGGAAAACTAAGTAGAGCACAAATAAATAATATTATTGTTATGACAATACGTGCATAACGTGGTTTACAAAAACTTCGTGTACGTAATGGATAAGTTGTAAATAAATAACGTTCAATTGTTAATGCTAATGTTATCATTATGCTTACTTGACCAAAATAGTTTGCTAATGGCATATAAAATTGTGACTCAAAACGTACTAAAGTATAAAATATGTTTGCATGACGAATATAATCACCACGCACAATTGAAAATGGTGATATTGATATTAATGTAAGCATATCTGCTATAGCTAAACCAGTTAAATATGTATATGGTGATTCTTTTAGACGACGTTGAAGAAGAACACATAAATTAAGTACATTACATACAATACCAAATATACATATAGTTAAAATAACATAACGATAACCAGCTACTTCAACATCATGTAATGTATCAGAATAAATTGAACGATTTTGATTTGATAAACATGGATAATTAGTCATGATGATAATTTCTTTTTTTGAATAATTTTTACATGTCTAAATAATTAAAAAACAAAAACAAAAATAATTTTTATCGTTAGTATTTTTTGTATTAATTAAAATAAAATAAAAAAATCTTCATGATTATTAACTCTCAAACATAAAATTCTATTCATTGAGAATGCATTTATGTCGATGAGTAAATCAATTAGATACTTATTTTTATGTTGTTGAACACATGAAAAAATATTCAACCTACAGAGATCTTTCTTAGTTCTATTTTTATTGCATTATTACAACATTTAATTACGAGGAAAAATAAAAAAGTTATAGGTATGAAAAATTTTTTGCTTTATAAAAGTGATGTAAATAAAAGAAGAAAGAAGTTTGTATTCTAAGATAAATATAATAGACAATATTTATTGTAGATAGTTAGCTTTCTTGTTTTATTCTTTTGCTTACCGTTCGAGTAAATAAAGAATAGAAATCTACAAAGATTTTACTAACTAAGTAAAGAAAAATAAAAAGTCCTAGTGATAATTTACGCCTTCCTTTATTTGTCATTATGCATTAACATTTTTTTTTCTTTTTAATGATAATAAAAAAAAAAAAAAAAAAAAAAAAAGTTTGTTTCCGAATGAACATTTATAAATGATGAATGAAATAAGAATATGTTTGGATTTGACATTTCTATTAAAATCATGACAAGACTAAAATAGATGATATATGTTTTGAATATAATTATTGACGATAGAAAAATAAATTATATCTCTTTTGCTAAAATAATAAAGAAAAGAAAATTAATTACCTTAAATTATAGTGAATAAAAGTTTGAGGTATATGAATTATTTTTATTATTGATTGAGTTGTTTTTCAAACAAAAGTTTTCTATTATCTATCTCGATATATATATATATATTTATAAGAGAAAGATAGATAATGTCTAATGGTTATACATGTTTTATGGATAAATATATAGAAATGACTTCTTTAACCACTCCAAGGAATGCATTATGTGTTTTTTTATGCTTCTTCTTTATGACTATTACTTCTTTTTCTTTTTTTTTTATACAAAACAAAAAAATAAAAAGGGGCGTGCTACAAAAGGAAATAGAGAAGTGAATATTCTTCCTTAGAGAGGGAAGTTGTCATCTCTCAATTGTTATTTCTTTTTTTTATTCCCAAATGGCACATGATTTCATTTGAATTTGTTTCCTGACTATCTGTCATTCTTTTTATCTATATTATTATAGAGTTCATTGATCCAAAGAAGTAGTTAATCGATAAGATAATTTTTCAAAAAGAAAACAACAAAAAAGTAACTTAGCCATATAAATGTATCTTCAATCAGAGAACTTTATCAATCCACAATTATATTAGTCTAATATCAAAACGTGATAGATGTATGTCAATATTAGATAACAAAATAGGCGCATTGGTCGATTTATCACTGCTATGAGTCGCTCAT